GTGTGAACAGACTCTGCGAATAGWTTTTATTGTGTTCATGAAAGATAATTTTAGCATTTATTCAATTCTTTATGGTTCCTCTTTTCCTGATAAAAAAAAAAGGGGGAGGAAAAATGCAACCGGCCACATGCGCTTTGGTTAGCCACAGGCTGCCAGAGGAGACAGAATGCAATTATGCAAAACAGTGAGAGTCCAGTTGCTTAAAAAGAAAGGGACAAAAGGAAAAGTTACCCAAAAAATAACACACAGACATGGGTGAATGCATGGCCATGCTGCTGTCTGAGAWATGAAATATGAATAAATATTTGTTTCATTTTGCATCTTGGAAATCTGTTATTTTGTGGATTTATGTCTTTAAATTGACTTTACAATTAGTGGTTCTCTTTATGTTTTGTTTTCTTCTTGTATCATTATCAACAATATGTTAAGATCATTTAAATTTAGATTTTCGTAAACAAAATAAAAGGTTAGGACTTGAACACAGTTTTAAAAAATAGTACAAGAGACATAATATACAGCAGGGGTGTCAAACTCCAGTCCTCGAGGGCCGCTATCCTGCATGTTTTAGAGGTTTTCCAGCTCCAACACACCTGATTCAGTGATTGAATTAACTCTTCAAATTGGGCAGAAGCCTGTTAATTACCCAGCGATCAAAATCTGGTGTGTTGGAGCAAGAAAACCTCTAAAACATGCAGGATAGCGGCCCTCGAGGACAGGAGTTTGACACCCATGATATACAGTATTACCAATAATACATTTGTGACCCATCACATCGAAATAAGGATAAAGTCTAAAAGTGGGATATAGAGAAATAGGCAAATATAGTGTTTTGATTAAAACATTTGCAAAAATTGCATTTTGTCAAAACATAATGAATAAATGCCATATCAATGTATTATTTGAATGAACTGTCTGAAATATAATCCTAAAACTAAATTTTGAAACACTTTTTTTGAGTAGTAGCAACAAAAAAAAACTGATTTTGAGGAAAAACGCCTTAAAATTTTGAGATTTTTCCTGTTAGCTAGCAAAGTTTTGTTTCTTTTCACTGGGAAATGTCAATATTCAAATATAATTTGRGGTTTCCTCTTCATAAGGGCATCAAAMATTCCTCATTAAAATTACATAAAATTAGGATTCAGACCAAATATTTATGTATTCTTGTAACCAACAAGACAAATAAAGTCATGTTTATGGATTTACATATGATATCAGAATGAAGCAGGTATCAAAATATAGCATTTAAAGCCAGGACTCTGAAAATGTAATTAGGTCATTTTGACTAAATTTGACTTAACCCTCATTTCGAAATGATGGGTCACATTTCTAGTCCACCCATTTTCTTTAGTTACATTTGTTGCATCGTTTATTCTATGCTGTCTTTGTTTACCTTCTTGTTTTTTCAACCAAGTGTTTTTTTATTTGCTAAGAAATTGGAAAGACTCCCCATGTGTTTTTCACAGCTCCACTTTAAAATAACAACTAGAATAAGTACTTGAGAACATAGTTACAACCACCTGGTGAGAAACCTCCTCCAAAGATGTTGAGCTACAAATGAAACGATCTCTGTCTGCTCAGTCACGTTTTTCCCTCCTTCTTTCACTTCACAAGGAAATAAAGTGCACAGCGTCCACTATTTGAATTAATTGGCTGTTGGCAATTATGTTTGATGATCGTCAAAAAACGTTGTTGGAAGCTTTGGGGCTGTCACCAAACATTTATAGAACAGTGCTTATGATTTAACAAAAAAGAACATTCAAACATATTTCAAATTCAGGGGAGAAAGCCAGTCTGACAAGCTGCTGGCAGAGGTTTTTGGAACCGTCCACCTGGATTTGAACTTCATACAGGTCTTACTTTGTGGTCTCAGCTTCTGAACACATTCCAACCCACCTGCCACCACGTTGGCATTTGCTGTTCGAAGTGCACATCAAATAGATCCAAATCAGATGCTTGCACAAAGCCAGAGCAAAAACTGCACCACCTGCACTCTGCAGGCAGATATTTTCATTTGGCTCAGGAGCTGCGTGCCAAGAACGGAGCCCTCTGAGTGATGACGATGATCTGAGCTGTAAAGGGAAATAGAGAGAAAGTAAAGAAGAAGAAGAAGAAGAAAAAAATTGGGCGTTATCGATTGTTGTAGCTTCAGGTTTGCTTTCTTTTCGAATATATTCGTGCAGACCCCGAGGTCTAAAATAGTCTTCCTTCTATTAGGCGACGGACGTGGTGAAAGCTTGACTAATCTTTATAATTAACCAGGATCGATTGTCTCATTTGTGGATGAGCGGAAACATGTTATTTGACCAATGTTCCGCGGTTGTAGCCTTGTACGACAATGTGTTCACTTGCAGATGTGATGGAGAAGGTTCTAGCGTGTTACAAAGCRTACAGGGCAGCTGCTGGCGTATTGATGCTTCCTGGCTAAACGTTAACAAGCAACCGTGCCATGTTTGTCAGGGAGACRCGGGCTGCAATCTGTCTGCTGAGCCAGCCAGAAGCCCTAATGATATCATCAAGAAGTGCCGTCAACAGCACTCTAACAAGGAATGATCTGATGCCTGGTGTTTCACGTCCTTCCTTTGTCCCCTGCTCCCTTTTGTTAGTGTTGCAGCTGAACAATAAGGTTGAMTTTTATTGCATACACAGGCGATGACATCGATATCGAGATCAGGAAAGACATGTATTTGAAAAAGTCTTAATGTGTACATAAAATACTGAGGTAGCGCAATTAGAGGTGCAGATGACTTCTAAATACAAGAGTTATTATTAAAGCACTTGACTTGTTTTTGACGTGTGGTTTTGAAAGTATGATAACCTTGAGGAAAAATAACACTGAGTTGTGACATTAAACTATAAAAATGTATCCAACACTGTCAGTGCTGAATGTAATTTTTGTGCTGAAGTAAAAAAACAGACAGTTGAGATGGAATGACTTTAGACTAGACCAGGGGTCTGCAACCTGTGGCTCTGGGGCCACATGTGGCTCTTTGGTCCCTCTGCAGTGGCTCTTTGAAATTGTGACCAAATATAACAGATTTTATTTTATGTTTTGGTTTTTATACTCACAACACTAATAAATTGTATGCGAATATGTGATCAGTACTACTAATACAAAAATACTAATGCAAAAATAAAATATGTTAGCTCATACTAGCCTGTTTTCTACCTAAATAATCCAACTTCTTTGTATAATATTTCTCTCAAATCCATCAGGGTTATCTTTAAACACCTTTACTTCTACATAAAAAATAAAAATTAGAAAAGAAATGTCTCAGTTCAGCTGAACTAGTTTTTATGAAATTTTGTATAAACTAAAGTCAGTATTTTTCTTGTGCATGAATATGTTTTTTTCTTCGGTCTTGAAGTGTAAAAATAATAATAAATAATAAAATTCACAATATATTTTTTAGTTTTATAATGTCACTTCCACTGGCCATAAAGGTTCCCAAAAAGGCCTCGAAAAGGCCCACGGACCACCAGTTGATAATCACAGTTGTAGCTTATTTTGCKGCTCTGGACACATTTTATTAGTGAGCCAAGGAGCMGAAGTGGCTCTTTTGATTGTAAACGTTGCAGACCAGACTAAACAATAAAAAAAACTCATCTCATTAAAAGAAACTTAAACCACAATATGATGGAAATGTGTTTAAAACTTTGGCATGTGTTGAAATTAGAAACTAGCCAAATCTCAGTAATAGCTGCATAATTAAATCAAATAAATGCAGTTGATTTAAAGGGGTGGGTATCATGCTAAACTACTTTTATTAGCCGTTAAATAAATTTTGTTGTGTACTTGAAGTCTCTCCTGGTGCTGCATAGATATCTTTATATTCTGTTTGGGTCATATTTTTCAACTTGTTCAGTTTTCTTTATTTTCTGTTACGTTTTCTGAACTATTACATCACAGTTTTTTTCAATGGAACTGCCAAATAAGGTCTGGACTCACCAATTGCAATTTCATCGTTTTCTTCATCCTTTGGCTCGGAGTCAGACTCTGGATGGACAAGTTGTTAATTTTGTAAAGAAAACAAATAAAACTTTTGCGCTGCTATAAATAGTCGCAAACCCCTCTGTCATAATACAATGGACCGATCAGGAAGTTGGGGCAGGGTGGAGTGCGAAGGGTCTCATTTGGATTTAAAGAGACGGCGTCAAAACGAGTTGCTCTGAGACGCGCCTCAGAAAAGGGGTGAAAGAGGGGCTTGTGGCTTTATATAGACCTGAACTGAAGGATTTAAATATGAAAATGGAGGKTTTAAAGCGTAATACAGTATGTCTCCTTTAAAACAACACAATCTCAAAAGTTTTTCTCAATAGCATCAGTTATTGTACACATTAGACATATTGTTCTCAAGAGGAGTTGTTCCAGTTCCAGAAGAATTACATTGTGAATATGCACCATGTCAACTCTCATTTKGACATGAACGTCTGTTTATGTGTGTTTTATTGTTTCCCATGACCCCTTCTCCCTTCTGAACACACAAACCCCTCCCTGTGGTGACTTTCAGGAAGATGRCAATTTTCTAACTTCACAGCGTTTACAAGCTCATCACAACACCCCCYCTCTCCATTACATTTCATCACCCTCCTCTTACCCTGTGGCTGTTTTCTTTTTTTATTTATTTAGCTAAAGATCTCAGTTCTTAGAAGAGTTGCGAGCGCTAACCTGGCTGCAAATATACAGTGACTGATTCAGTTCACGATTTGATTTATTTAACTTCCTCTCTTTTTGTCAACGGGTGGTTGGGGCTGGAGTGGAACTTGGTTAGTCATGCCTGTCTGCGTAAGCATTGCTGGGATAAATGGTTCTTTATGAGACGACCATGAGAAATTTGAGAAACTCACCGTTAAGAAGATTGTTTGACCACTTTGTGCCCATTCTCTGTCAGATTGACTAATCTTTTCCTTCCTGCTTTCTTTTTTTCTGTCTCTTTTTCCCCCTCTGTTTCTCTCCCACCCCCCTTCCTTCTTGTCTTTGTTGAACTGTTTCATTTACCCAGGTGCCTTGCAGATTGAGAACAGCGAGGAGACCGACCAAGGGAAGTACGAGTGCGTGGCGTCTAACGTGGAAGGCGTGCGCTACTCGTCCCCTGCTAACCTTTACGTGCGAGGTAGGGAGCAACCCAGTCCCAGAATCAGGCCAAAAAACTAAAAAAGAAAAAAAAACTTCTCGTTCTAAATAAATTGTCTTCAAAGCTCCGCTTTAAGTAGCATTAATGTTCAGCCTAACATATTTTTATACAGTACCATTCTAGTCTAGCTGTATTTTCACAAATAATACCCAAGTATTATAAACATTTTATTAMTAGTTTTGCCTTCACGTATTTGTAATTTCTTTTGCAATGAAACTTCCAAATGTTAAAACTATAATTTGACCAACTGTTTTTCTCTGTAATGCTGTTATGCTCCATTTTGTCTTTCAATGCCCTCCCCTACTCACTTGGAAGGAAATGTGTAGTGCAACAAGCCGTATGTTTTTACTTTATCAATTGCAAAAAAAAAAAAMGACCTTTCACCTGTAAGTGTTTGCCACCCATATCAAAGTTGGAACTCCCCTAAAGAAAAGTCTGGAAAGGCTTCATTTCTCTGAGGTTTTTCTTTTTTACAGGCAAAGGAGCGCAACGGTAAGTCCTGATTTTGATTGAGTGGCTAGGTAACATTGCCCACCAATCAAAATCTCTCCTCCTTTAGCTTTCTCTGTATGGGGGCAGGGGGGGAGGAAACCCAAAAGAAATTGTGGTTTCACACTCACACACACACTTACACACTCCCACACACAAAATATCCATTGCATAGATTATAAACCCCACACTTCCTCCACTTCTGGCTCCTGCTGCTCGGAGCATAAATCTATAGCGCCTCTCTGTTTCTGCTTTGCTATGTTATCTTTAAAGGCTTTGACAGTCAGTAGTTATGTTGGCTGGCATGTTCCAGCAAAGTGAAGATATAAAAAACAATCAGTTGAAAGGAGTTTCGTAGAAAAAAAAAAGATGATAAAGACAAAAGCCTATCCTCAACCACTAATGCTAAATGACAATGGATCCCTGTTGCGGGAGCTTTAATAAATTGAAGCAGATGCATTTTCGACATGTATTATTTATATTGTGCATATTAAATAAAGATGCCTTGGTATCTACTCAGTTTGTTCCCTCTGCTGTGTACCAAATAACTTTGTTCCCAATAAATAATTCACTACTCTGACATTATAAAATGGGTCAGAGAGCTGCTTTTTCATTATTATTGCTATCATCGTACTCAGTGAAATAGAAGCACAGAGAAGAAAAATTCAACTGTGTGGAGATGAAGGTTAAAAAAAATGGTTCATCAAGATTAGTGTCTTTTCTTGCCAACATTCATCCTGGAGGCTTGGGCTGTCTGTTGTGATTCAGTGAGAAGTAGCAAAATGTGCGAAGTTAAATGATTTATTGGAAATTATGGTCAAACCTCTACAAAAAACAAAACATTAAAAAATGATGGGAACACTTTAATGATGCAGCACTGGGATAGGTAGCATTTGTTTTGCTTAAAAATAATTAAAATAGAAAAATAGCAGGTACGTCCTGACATGGTTTTCAACAGTTTGTTCAGTTTTCCATGACATGCGTTCTAGAGCACACAAGGTTGATAATTACTCAAGTACCTCCACACTATGTAACACTTGTTATGCTGTGATGGTGTCGATCTTTGTTTGTTTTTAGTTGAACTTTTGTCGATTTATTCTGATACTTGATGTTGACTATGTTTTGTTCACAAAGCAAAATGCACTTGAGATTAGCAGCTGTGGCGAATCCTTTATAAGAGTGAACATTTCTATATGTTTGGCATTATGTATTAAAACGAATAAGACCGTGACCTGAACATAAACTGGTTTAAAATTGTTGCTGATTGGCTTCTTGAAACGTTGACTTTACCAGTTCTGAGCTGCAGCTGCTAATTTCCTCCCAAACTGTGTCTTTTTTTGTTTTCTTTTCAATCTCTCATTAGTTTTTTCTTTATTTCTTTTCTTGATTTGGTTTCTTTCTCTACTAAAAGCAAAAATCGGCCACCGCAGGAGCCTCTGCTCGTGGCCATAAGGAGCTTGTAAAATTTTTGAATTCTGAGTAAGGTACGCTTGATTTGACTCCAGTGGCGCTTCAATCCTTTTTCCTTAGCAGGCCGCAGAGCGACCACTGGGGTGAATCTGATTGTTTTGGTTCAAAGTTTATTTCAAGGGGGAGGGCAGGCAAGTGTACTTTGAAGATGGTTGTCACTGATAGCAGGGACAAGAGATAGGGAAGAAGGGGGGGGGGAATAAAAGGAGAAGGGAAATGTAGCTGCAGCTAAACACCTTGAGGTGGCTTTTTTTACTCTCTCTGTGTTTCCCCTATTTTTCTCTTCTCCTCATGTCATTGTGTTCTGCATCAACCCCTTTACATCCCTCAGAGCTTCGAGAAGGTTGGTGTGTTTTTTTCTTTTTTACTTTTTTTAACCCACATTTTAAAAAAAAGAATCAACATGTTGAAAAAAAATCAGCTGTATTTGCCTTTTGCAGAGCTCGATTAAATATTAATTTGAAAAAAAAAAACTAAAGAACAGTAATTCTAAACTGCTAAATGATTATATATATTTATATTTTTATTATTATTATTATTATTATTATTATTTCCAAAGAAGAAATGATGAAAGCAAACCTGATTAGTTCGGGTTTTGTTAATTTACTTTTATGTTTGCATTGTGGGGCCTTTTCACGTTTTGCATCCTTTGGTATTGCTTCTGCACCTAAAAGCTTCCTTGCACGTGTCGTCATTGGAAACCCAGCACGTGAATAAACAACGGGACCTGTTGCATGATGGGAGAATGTAACTGCGCTTGCATGCCTGTGCAAAAATCCCTTTGGCCCCAATGATCTTTTTCTTTTCTGCATTCCCAGTGTTTTGTTCAGTTCTTTACTTTTCCTTTCTTGGTTCTCAAAATGTTGTTTTTTTTTTCTTCCTGACACACTCCTTTGTTGGCTTCCCTTATTTTATGTTGATTTTTGTGTTGTGAATATGGTTTCAGTGCGTATTTCTTTTGTTTCTGTTCTCAGTTTTCTTAAAAGGTTTGTCTTGTTTGCGGTTCATTCATTTGAAAGACTTCTGTTTCTTTTTTCAACCGGATGCTGCTCTGCTTCTTGAGTCTTGGAGTTTAGATGCAAATGCCAAATGAAAGAATAAGTGTGTATACAGCCAGTGTTCCTGTCATCTTGTTTATGTTGATCCATTACCGAAAGAATTCGACCTGATTGGGCTCCATGATGATTTTAGCCTGCCATTAAGCGACACCATTTAAAGGGTTGTGCAGATCAATAACAAAATAATGACTTCAGAACCACGTTGGCTGTTGCTAAACGAGTGCTGAAATACACAGATGGTTGTTGCTTTACAGCAGCAGCTAAATGTGATTGGATCTGCTGAATGACAGCTGATTGTGATTTCTCCAAATCATTTTGCACAAATTGTAATAAAGTTTCTAAAACACTTCTTTTTGTTTTCACATGCACATGTCTTTATGAAACAAAACAAAATTCTGTTTGATTTGACTAAAATAAAAAATAAAACCAATAAAACCAGCAAAATATTTATAACGTTCATGCTGTAGACCTTGAACATGAGAAAATCTTGTTTTAAATAAATTTGAAAATAATGTAAACTGCTGTATGTTTCACTAGGCTTTGTATCCTAATATGTTGTTTTTGTTTTTTTCTTTAAACCATGTCACCAGCTGTACTTGAATTTTAAGAACTCAGGGGTGTAAATTTTCCCGACAGAGATAACTACATTTTTCTTTCATCAGACTTTTTTGAAAGCATTTACAAGCTTTGCATGTTTACCTTTGAAACTGTGCTGATCTCCATGGGATTGACTAATGGAAAGTCTCTGGAACTCGAACCATAAAAGGCCAATGCTCCTGTTACCCACTATTTATAAATTGTCATGCTTTGATTAGGCATCCAGGAGAGTGTTTACTTTTTCCCAGCAAATTTGTTGCCTGATTTTAGTCTCTAGAAATTAGCGCTTTTCACCCAGCCTAGGAAACTAGTCCTATTGAATTTAAGTCCACAATTGTTTGTATAGTTGTAATTTTGTGCAAGCTAAAAAGAAAACTTGAATTGAGCTTTTTGACAGACCATTTAACTTATGTCCTAACACATTACAAGACCAACCCTGTGAAAAAATARTCAGCACTCCTTTGTAGCCCTAGACAATCATGTTTGTTGTTATCCAAACTGCATAATTTGACTCCAAAATATGTCACAAGGCAAACACATCATGCACACAAAAGGATTGCAATACATCTAAACACCAACAGGCTGTCATCAGAAATTGACTGTGCTGCCCTTCATAAAGTACTCCACAAATTTTGGAAAAAATCTCAACGAAATAAAGCCACGTTAATAATCTGCATTACTATTTCATTTCAATTTGAACTACTGCATATAACATTGATGCAGAAAGACTGTGCTGTTATATATATATATATATATATGCATGTGCATGTTTACTCTTCTACTACTGTATGCGATTTGCTCGTTTGTGAATGTGCTCGCATGTCCTGCTCTGCATTTGTGTGTGATGTTGGGAAAGAAAGCTAGATTACACCTTATGTTCTCACTGGCCAAAGCAAATTCCTGTCATCTCTATTAGATGTTTGTCTTGAGGAGTCTGAAAAGTAATAACCGTCCTTCAAAAGTGACATTTTCATCCAAAATGAATTAATGCATCATACAAAACATACGTTTCATTAGTTTCTTCCAGTGCAAGTATGTTTCACTCCAAATATGCACCAAAAAAACACCAAAATGGGGGGATGCACTTGCAATATCGTTTGGCTGCTTGTCATGTAAGACAACAGTAAAAAAAGTGATGAGTAGTGAAATGCCCTCGACGCTTGTGATACCCCTGCTATGACTCCTGTCTGTTTCTTTAAAGTAATAATTTCCATTTTTATGAACCACCTATAGTGACTGTTTAGCATTGCACAGCCAAGGTATGTTAATACTGGTCGACCCCTGTGGCTTAAACGTAAATGCCGCAGGACTCACCCAGCGAGTGTGACTAAAGGATCTCCATACTGTGCCTGTGTCCTCAGGCAGCAAGAGGGTGTAATCTCAGCTTCAAGGTGACACTAAAGGCTGCACATTATTTTGGCTTCCCCCTTCATTTTGGGGCAGCAAAATCTGCCTCACCAAAATGGCCAATAATGTCCACCTTCTGACCTCTGTTTTTTTTTTAAATCACAAATCCCACTACAACACTGCCCATTATTAGAGTTAGTGCAGTACTCTGGCATTCTCTCTCGACTGCTTCTCACCTTGTCCAATGTACGGCTTCTTGTCTTTCTCTCCACATTGGGGCTTGAAACAAGATTCTATATTGTTATTAGATCCCTTAAATCCTAAATGTTAGTTTTTCTCTCTCAAATCCAAATGGACCGGCTGGGCTCCTGGTCTCTGTGAATGAGGAGCGTGTCCATGCAATTGGGATTCTTTATTCTTTCATGTTCTTCTTCATTCAGTCTCAGTGCATTTTAAAAGTATAACATAAGAGGGTGTCATCTCCGTATATACTCACAACAAATTGTCCTGGTTTTCCAAACCACTGTTTGATTGAACATTAAGTCACATCATTCAGACCTGTGTTCACAGTATGGTAACTCATTTACATGCCATAACATGTAGATGCACAGTTGCCCAGACTTGCTTCTGGATTTTAAGATTCACAAGTTTTTCTTCCAGTATTGAGGATAGTATTCTCCAGCATCAACTGAGTTCAGCATGGGGTTGCAATGAAAGACCTAAACTTTTAAACACATTGACTACTGTTTACAAAAAAAAGATTCCCCATGTTTGATTGGTTCACTTCATTATTATTGCAAACTGCAGTTGGATCAATTGATTAGTACATCTTTTATACTAAAAGCGAACAAGTACAATAGTATTGATTTAGTCAGTTGTATTCTTCAAATTCATTTCCATAGCCAACATTTCTCAAAGGTAACTAGAGACATCTTCCTGTGGGGAAACCTCATTCACTTAACCACTTCAGCTCCTGGTCCATTGGCTGATCTGAGCCCCAGGGAGAGAAGATCACCCTCAGACAAATTTTCATTGAACGTTTTCCCCCAAAACAGGCTTGTTTTTACTCCTATTGAGTTCTCCCAATTGTTTTGAATTGGAAGATAAATCCAAGAGACCACTAGAAGATGAAAAACATCTAATAGCATTGATGCAAACCTCTTTGTGAACACAGCTGCACTCTGGTACTGTCTTTGCTGTTCGGATGTAGTTTGTTTTTGTGAATTTGTTCGGTTTCATTTGTTTCTTTTTGTTTGGTTTTGTGAGTGTGTGTCTGGAGCAATGCTATATTTAGTAATAAATGGCATGCTTGGATGGGCTTGGGTGACATTTTTGGATTGTATTGGTTCTCTGGTGTTTGCCCTAGTGGATGAGGGCACACCTTTATAAGTCACTCATGCCAAAGCCACAACCATGCATGTCTATGTGAAGAATGGGCTGCCCTTTCACCTTTGTTGGTTAGTTAGCTGTGTTTTCCCTAAATTGTAATTCAGAGATACAGTATATTTTTGTCCCATTATAATGGGCATCTTCTTCTTTTTTTATATATATATCTATATCTCTCTCTATATATATATATATATATATTCAGAGATACAGTATATTTTTGTCCCATTATAATGGGCATCTTCTTCTTTTTTTATATATATATTTTAGATCATCTCCTTAAGTAATTAATTATGAGTATAATGAAACAAAGCATATCTAAACCTAAAGGTCATTCATTCAAAGCTACGATTTCTTCTAATCTTGATAGACAAATTTTTAAAGAACGTTGGTCAGAATCACAATTGACCATTTTTCTTGACACATTTTTGCATATTACATATTACATTTTTTTCTTTTTTTGTGACGAGCATTTCTTCAAAGGTCAGCTCTGAACTTTTTGCCCTCAAGGGCAGGTCTTGTTCTGCACTGAGTTGCAAAGTAATTGACATTAACACTGGATACTTGAGAATATGCATACAGAGTAGTTCAGAAGATGATAGATCAAAAACATCATCTATGGTCCCCGTTGGAGATCCAGTATCCCTGTAACTGAAACTGACTTTGTTTTTTATTCTTTCCACATTTAAAGTAGAATTCCCTTTTTTATCGTTTTAAAATAATTGACTTTCAAAGAAAATACTACTAAATGTCGTTAACATTCCATACAGACTCAGGATATTTTTACCAAAATGCTCCCCCTCACCAATAGACTGGATGTCTGCATTTGCAGTAATGTATGATCATTTCAGTAGGTGTCAACCCTCAGGTAAAAGAAAGGAAACCTCAATTTTGTCTAGGTGATATTTCTTTTTTAGTTTTGTGGAGAAATGAACCATGCAACGATCATATGAATCCCATTTGGATCGACACGGTATATTCTGGGATCCTAGTTTTTCTTGTGAGGTCCTTTTCAGTCTTTCCCTTGATCCCTGTCTCTCTTCCTTCGTACTCCTCCCCTATAAACWTTAAACATCCAAACCTTTCAGTTACATTTGCACTGAGGTTCCATGTTTAAGGTGGGGAGGAGGGAACGTGTACTTGATTCTTGATGTTAAGCCCCAGTGTGTGAGACATCCAAATCAACTTTAAGCCACAATCTTTTGTTTGTTTGTTTTGTCTTTTTTTTATTTACAGTCGCAATAACTTATTCTATTCTCCATATATATCCTCCTCCTTCTTCCCCCTTTTTCCAACAACCCAACCCCTCCCCTTCCTTGTTGCGTATTGTACAGTATGTCTGCGTGTCCATCTGTTTTCCTTTGTCTTGTCTGCTGTCTTGCTGCTCGAGTTAGATTTTTTTCCTGCATTGTGTCTTGTCTCTCAGCCCTTTTCTTTCTTGTTTTGTCCGTCTCTAAAATCATCTTCTTCATTTAGTTCATCATACTTATACTTCTGTATCCTCACTTCTTCTCTTCTCTCTTTTAAAACTTCTGCATCCCAACAAACACTTTGGCGTAAAACAAATGTAGCTGCTGTGCATTGGGCTCCTCCTAGACTGTAATATTGTAGGTTTTGAGTGTTTTTTTTGTTTGTTTTTGTTTAATTTTCAGTGAGTCAACCTTTTTTTTTGCACGTAGCCATCTTGATTTTTGCATATAGCCATATTGTTACTTCAACAAATCAAATACAGAAAACCTATTTAAAAAGTCTTTTACATTAGTTCTTAATAAATACCAAAATAACACGAGGCCTAGTTGAGTACATTGTACATAACCAAGCTAAGGGAGAACATTTAAATTCACCTAACTCAGACTTTTAAAACAAATACGTTATAAACCTTATTTAGGTAACGATTAATGTCGGTCACCTCTTACATTTCTTTAGCTGTCAGGTGCTTGCTGGGATGTCTCTCATGAACACAGATTTTTTTCTTTGTTAAATCATACTCTTTCACTCTGTAGCTCTCGCATACTGTACACTCGCACACTCATGTCTACACAAATGCAAAAAGTGTACACACAATATATACACATACTAATACACTGTATCTTTTGCATCCTTCCCCTGCGTCTCAAGTTTATGACCCTTCCACTTCAATTTTCAGTCTTATCCATGACTTCAGAGGTTCTTCCTGTCTCTCTCTCTTTCTCTCTCTCTCTCTCTGATATCTGGCATTCAGCCCTTATTCATCTCTATTCCCTTCTCCCTCCATATCTCTTTCTTATTCTTTGAATTTCTACTCACTGTTGATCCAGTTCTGTTTCTTTTCTCCTACACTCTGTGACAGTTAGCTTGCTAGATACAATTGCTATAATTTATTTTTTTCTTTCTGTGTATTTCTAGGCACACTCCTTGTTCCTCAGTACTTATTTTGTGTTACCCGGGACTGAGATGTGACAATGTGCCATCGTCACATTTTGTCACATTAGCTGAAGAAAAACAAAGTTTACACAGCACTGAAACGGGTTAYCCCCCTGCCCCATTTACCCTCCTCCAACCTTCCCCGCTCTTTTGCTACCTCTGTCACTCTTTGCTACACTGTACTCCCTCCTCTATCCTYTCCTCAGTTCCTCCTCTACCTCGTACTTCTGTTTTTTCTCTCCAGTCGTCTTTTGTCTGGGCATGCTAGCGACCCTTCAGTTATATTCCTCTATGCATTTTATCTCAAGTTTTATATCTGATTTTGTTATCATTTACTCCTTAATTTACCTCAATCTATTTATGCATGCTGTCTGTGAAACTGATAGCTGCATCTATCAATGGAACCGTGTCAGATCTTAATAAGGCTTTGTCCAGTGGATCTACCCTGAACCACAAAAATCTGATTAAAGTTTCTCATCTTTAAGATTGCAAGAAAGTAGAGACCTGTGCTAAGTGCAAACGTGTGCTAGAATGTAGTTAGAGACCTTCTAGAGATGGTCAATAGTTCAGTAACCCTACACTTCCTGTGCTGTGGGAGAAGCCTGCAATGGCCTACTTCCTGTTTGGCATGAGTTTCTGAGAGGACAGGAAGTTCCAGGTTGCCCTGTTGGGCTTATGTGATGGAATTATCACATGGCCTTTACAACACACTTATATTTTGGGATCAGGTAATGCTGTTGTTGTCTACATGTCAGCAGTTCAGTCCCCTAAGATGAGAAACTCGTAATAGATTTTTGTGACTTTAATTGTGCTGTGATGGGTCAAATATTGGTCAATGGAACCTTGTTGCTATGAATCGTTGCTTAACTGTAAATCTATATCGTTGTTGAAGCAATTTTGTTAGTTTAGTTTTTTATTTTATTTCTTTCATTTTTTGTAATTTTTTATGTTCCTTAAAAGTCAGTTTTGTTTTACGTTTTGTTTAAGTTTACATTTATCATGTTGAACCTTTTGTGTTCGATATTTCCTCAAAAAGGGTCCATTTTCATCGGCCTCTCTTGTTACTTCTCTCTTTTTTCCTCTTCATTTTGACTCTTGCCCTCTTTTGTCATCCTCTCTCCTTCCTCATGCTTTCTCCCAGTACGGCGGGTGCCTCCTCGCTTCTCCATCCCACCAACGAGTCAAGAGATAATGCCAGGTGGCAGCGTGAACATAACATGCGTAGCTGTGGGGTCGCCCATGCCTTATGTCAAGTGGATGCTGAACTCCGAGGACCTGACACCAGAGGATGAGATGCCAGTTGGCAGGAACGTTCTTGAACTGAGCAGCGTCCGTGAGTCGGCCAACTATACCTGTGTGGCCATGAGCAGCCTTGGCATCATTGAGGCTGTGGCACAGATCACTGTCAAATGTAAGAGATCACTGTATTTGTGATGACGGTTGTAGAGATTTTAGATCATATTAGCTGCGTTTCCATTTACTATGAAAATGTGCAAATTAGAATTTCGAAAATAAATTTGCTCAACGGAAACACGTCAATTCCGAAAAAATTCCATTTTTCGATAAAATGTTTTTGCGCTAGGGTGAGGTGGTATTTTGGCCGTATCGAAATTGGTGTTTTTCACAAAACTGCAATGGAAACACTTTTTCACATCACGGGAGTCACGTGATCAACAACCGTTTCTACTGGCGAAAAAGATGACAATGAAGAAGATAATAGGAAGTAGAAGTAGTAGTAATATCACAGAACTATTAAAATAAAGTAGTAAACTCACCGACTACAATTTCCCAAAAACACAGCATACGTAGCCGCTCCCAAGTAGGGCTTTGTTGCTGGAAAGCCTTGATAAAAGATGCCGAGGTCTCCTCTGATGATGAGCGCTAGTGTCGTGGTAGCAATATGCTGTGTTTACATCCATTGCTGCCATGTTTGTAACGACTTATCACGAGAACATTCACGCGTGACTTTAATAGCATTTCTTACTTAATGGAAACACCGCAGTTGCGAAACTGTGTTTTTCGACATTAACAGAATATCGACAAAGTTTTGCGCACATTTGCAATGGAAACACAGCAATTGTCTTCAAAAGATATCGTAAATTAATGTTCTCTACTTTTTCTGTTACATCCTCACAACAGCTCTCCCCAAGCCTCCAGGTACCCCCGTTGTCACTGAAACCACAGCCACAAGTGTGACTATTACCTGGGACTCAGGGAACCCAGATCCAGTAACATATTACATCATACAGTACCGGGCCAAGTCTCCAGACAGCAAGTATGAGACTGTGGAAGATATCACCACGACACGTTACAGCATAGGTGGTCTCTATCCAAACACGGAGTATGAAATCCGTGTGTCAGCCGTCAACACAATTGGACAGGGTCCTCCCAGTGAGCCGGTAGAAACTCGTACTGGTGAGCAAGCCCCTGCAAGTCCACCAAGAAACATCAGAGCCCAGATTCTCCCTCAAAACACAATGATGGTGCAGTGGGAAGAGCCAGAGGAGCCCAATGGACAGATCAAGGGCTATCGAGTTTATTACACCATGGATGACTCACAACCCATGAGTCTCTGGCAGATTCACAATGTCCAGGACAGCATCATCACCACTATCCGGAGCCTCGTTCCTGAGGAGACGTACACAATCAAAGTCCTTGCGTTCACCTCTGTCGGCGATGGACCATTCTCAGAACCCATTCATGTCAAAGTAGTCCAAGGAGGTAAGGAAAATACAACTGAACATAGATGAATAAAGGATATTAAAACCAGTATAAAATAAAATGATAGAGTAAGTATGGCACAACTTTTTCTCTGTTGAATTTAATCAAATCCCTTATGTCCATTTGTATCATTATCCCAATGCAGCCCTCTCACTTGCAAAATGTTCATTTTGATGGTGTTGCACCATTTTTCAGACATGTTCTCTGTTGCATTTTTTAGTTCCAGCTCAACCATCCAAATTCCAGGTCGGCGCTGTGTCTGACACTAGCATTGAGTTGACTTGGGAACCTGCTTATGAAAAAGAAGGAATTTTACGTTATGAGCTTCGCTATTCCGAAAGCAATTTTGGCACCCAGGTAAAACTTTGGTGTCATTGGATTTTTTGAAATTGCAAGAGGCTCAAAATGATTCAACATCCCACTTTTCCACTACTTTTTTAAATGTCTTTTCTTCTAATTAACAGATAAAAAAGACATTTGGACCCACTAGATCATATGTTGTGGAAGGTCTCCGCCCCAATACAGAGTATCGTTTCTCTCTGGCAGCCGTCTCTAGCAAAGGCATTGGAGCCTTCACAAATGAAATTTCTGAGAAGACCCTACAAGCCAGTATGTAGCCTTCTATTCAATCTTCTCATCTGTTTTAACAGGTTTGCTAACAAAGAAAATTCCCAAGTAAATAATTAAAATATGACAGATTTTTAACTGACTTTTTATTCAAATCTTTTCTAATTGTTTTTTCTTTTTCATTTGTTTTGAATGAAGTTTTCAAAATGTTTTGGCAATTGCTTCATCACCTTTAAGTGATAACTTTGTTTTCCTCTGAAATAACTTAGAATTCAAAGCTCTCTGAACCTGTTGCAAAAGGATATATGTGGTTGTTTATTTCTTGTATAAACAAGGAGTTTTTTTTCTAATTATCTTAATTCCTTGGATTTTTTGCAAATACATTTTTTAATGCAGCATTGCACCTAAAAATGCTCCTTCATTGTGAGTTACAGTTGAAAATAAGGCACTGAAGGCTAAAGGCAAATGTTGAACTGCATTTTGACCATTGGGAATATTTTGCAATACTTTGGATTTAATTAATTTTTTTTCTTGACCCTTCCATTTCCACTGCAGGAATCTTAAAGTTATGTGGGAAATCATTTATTTTCAAACGGTTCTTCTAATGTCTACAGACAGTTTTAAGGCAAAAAGAAACCTTCATCTTAAATTTATAGGGGCAGTTTTTTTACACTTTTTCTTTTTGACATTCTTAATCTGTAATGCAGTTTGTACAATTAGTTATTTTTAGTATAGAGTCAAAATTCAGTCATTCCTGCAGCTTTATTGAGTTCGGGAGAGACAGCTTGCACACATGGTGCTTCATCAATGTTGAGAATGAATTAATAAGAACATCAGTCATAATAAAAAGTCAGTTAACTTTGAGCACTTAAGTCACTCCCACGAGGAGTAACTTTTCACATTTTAGTGATTTCATTTCATTATCTACCCCCTGTAAGAGACCTCAGTGGAAATGTAAAAGACACGTGGATGAAATTGTTTATTCCTTGAGAAAGCGCTGATGCACTTAAATACTCTGTGCTTTTAGTTAAAATGTGCCTTTAGGCTTTATTCCCAAACATCACCTTGGTGGCCTTATTTTCTAACTTGGCTCAGGTGCTAAAATATAAATGTGCTCTATTATTTTATACAAACCAAGTCTACATAGACTGGAAACCTTGACATTTTTTATTGGACATTTATTTTGTTCTTTCCCCTTTTAATAGCAAGTGCACATCCCACGTGACAGATTAAAAAAAATGCTTGTCCTCTATAAAGACTGCCAAGACTCTCCTATGAACCTTAAGAAAGCATTAACAGTAAACAAATGCTTGCATGCTTATAACTCTGCATTGCAGTCAGTTAACCGTGCACTGCATATTTTAGCTTACAGGAAGAAAAAGCACGACAGAATTATTTCATCCAGAAAAGTTTTTTTTTTTTTATGACAAGCGTGAAATCACTGACAACATTAGAACGTCTTCTGATCTTCTAGAACGTCAAAGCCTATCAGGTTGAGTGGCAAGTGCTTTATTAGATCATTGATCAAATGCCTGCAACAAACAAAGACAAAATACATACAGAAGTACTTAATTTTAAATACCGAATGAAGCCAAGGATTTGTTTTAGACACTGATTTATGACGTTTGGAACCAAATAACATCAGTGTGTTAAAGAAGCAGCACCTGAGTAGTTTTAACAGTGACATATGAGAGCCATGGTGGTGGGATCTTTTAATGCATTTTCTGTTTCTACATGTGCAGCTTGTTGGCTACACCTTCACATGTGGATGTTTGTGTGTGCGTGTGGGGGGGTGGTTGTGTGGGTGTGTGGAGGGGGAAGTGGGGGTGCTTTGGAACCAACCAAGTCACAGTTCTTTTTGTTAACGCTCGACATCAAAGCTACACAAATAAGCGTAGTTTTACCGCCAACAGCCCCAGCATGTGACACCCTCTCCTGCCCTCTTGGGGGTGCTGTTGAGCATTCGTTGCTGAAATAATTATCTTTGACTACTGTAAGCATGAAAATACACAATGTTCACCCATGCCCATTACTGTCATCTGGCATCTCTTGAGTGTTTGTGCACGTCCTCACCTGCCACCTGTCATTATGTGTCTCTGTGAATTTCTTGCCTCTGTTCTTTTTTTTCTGCATTTTTAAACTGCAAGCAAATAGAACTGAGTATAAAACCCACTCTTTTTACATCACTTTGTTCCAGCACTGCTTCGTACATTGCCAACAAAACGGAAACACTTATTGGAATGGCTTGACATCACCTTGTTTACTTTCCTTTTTATGTTGACTCTTTTGGGAAATATTTTGAGTAGTGTATTTTTTTTATTTATCTGTTTCTTTTTATTTAGGATTAACCTTGAAAGTAATTTTCTTTATAGCAGCTGGTTGTAGATTTTTTTTATTTTCTGTTTTCTGTTGGGTTGTTGTTTGGATCTAAGTCCAGCCTAGAAACAATCAGCTACAACAACAGAGTCACACATACTTTAAAAGGTTTATTTTTATTTAAAAAAAATGAAGTTGATCAGCCGAACTGTTGCCAGGGATTCTTCATTTTCATTTGCTTCATCAACTCTCCTACTACAGATATTCTGAACAAAATCGATGTTTTCACTTCTGGTTTTCTTGCCATTTAAACAAACAGTTTTGTATTGTGTGATATGCATCAGCTGGTTTGTCAGCACTGAAGTCAGAATACTCCAAGGCTAAGTCAGACAAACAAAATTTATTGTAGGAAAAAAAGATCTTTTGGATGCTTTGAGGTAAGTGACCAAGTGGTTCAGGGATTCAGTCTGCTCTAACTTTTAACAGAGTGAACACTCACACACAGACACACAAACCACACAGACAGGAATACACAGATACAAAACTATTATGTTAATAATATGTCTAAAAGTTTAAGAGTAACTTTCCACATATTTGGTAACATTTTTTTTATTTGTTAACTAGCCTTTCCGATGCTTAGGTAGAAGTTTAACATTCTAACACACACTACATAGTTTGAAGTATTATTATGGAGATTTATTCAAATATTTAATCTATAGTTCTAATGTCTAATTAACTAACTGCCTTACTGAATCAACTCCAGTGACTCAGTTATGCATGAACATCAGTTACTTCTAAAGTAGAGTATCAGTTAGATTAAAAGTCAGAGTAAAATATGCTGTAGTCTAACAAAAATCAATGGATTGAGACAATATTTATTATACAGAAAGATAAAGCGCAACAGCTACGTGCAATGTTATTTTGATTTCTGTCAAGCTCAGCAGTATATATAAATACAAAACCATCTCAGCATTGATTTGAATCCACCACTCTGTTTGGCAGACTGAAGCTCTGTGCCACAAAGTAAAACAGAACATTCCAGATGTATTTTGACTCTTATCTCTGCTACCAATGTTGACAGACGTTTGAAATGAGTGGTCAGTTCAAAAAGCATTACCAGAGGCTTGTCATGGGGACCAATCTGTAAAATTACTTCAAAAAGATACAAATCCACTTGAAGATTTTTTTTGTTTCGTTTTTGCATACTTTATTGCTTCAGTGCGATTGATCCCAAATCAATGGTTAACAAATCTGCGAGATGTTCGATGCAACAATTGTGCCCCCATTCAGAAGTCCTCATTGGGTATGCTACTATTCTTAGACAAGGGTGAAATCATTTTTATCAGTTCGTTCAGACGTGGTCAAAGAGGGTCCACAACTGGAGAGCCTGAAGGGGAATTACTCAGACTGTTCGTTTCCAGGCTTGGGAACGGTACTGGAGATAGACCCTGGGAGTGGGTGTGAGGGGACTGCTGGGCCCCAGAGTGACAGATAAGAATCCCATTTCATAGCGTCAGAATTAATTTCATGCTCTGCAATGAGCTATGAGCCAAGGCCTTGAATTGTCAGGCTTTGTTACACATTTAGATTATACCTCGAACCTGCCAGTAGCTAGTCAAGTGCTGTCTTTGAAATTAAAGTGGCAGATTCTAAATCCTCTGTATTTAACCAAACAAGCAGTTTACCCCCCACTTACTCTAATTGCTGAGGGTTTTTAGTTGTATTGGAGTGTTTGTGTGTGTTTCGCCATGGCCATTCGGCATTTCGGGGATTATTCCATAATGATTTTCAAATATGAGCATCTTATCGTTTGAAGCTTCTACTGCAGAGATGTATTCATACTATTGTAGTAAGAGCATCAGTCAAATAGTTAGATTACAGTCACTGAATAATGGTCTCCGTAGCTGTCTGTTAGAATTAGTACATGTCATTATGTCAAACTAAAGTACTGCATCTTAAATGTAAAAGTAATAATTATCTCTACCACCAGTGTTTGTCATGTTATCTAAAAATCTCAGCCATATGGCAACAAACAAAACCAAATCAGAAGTGTGCGCCCAAAGACATGACTAATTATTTGCCAAATAGCATTTTTTAAGTCTTTCGAAAAAGATAAGAACCTCGAGTAAAGCGTAAGCTGAGTTATATCTTTTGTTTTGATGCATCTCAGTAATCCAGGTAGAAAAAATCAAAAAGAAAAAAATAAGTAGGTCCTCTGGATGGGTTCTTCTTTAGTGAAACGTTTCGTCTCTCGTCCAAGAGACTTCTTCAGTCTGAAGGAGAGATGAAACGTTTCACTAAAGAAGAACCCATCCAGAGGACCTACTTATTTTTTTTTTGATTATATATTTTGTTGTTGTTTAGTTCTAAGGTCCATAATCCTTCTGCTGGACTTGATGGAATTTTCACTTTCATAAATACGTGCCCCAGCTAGTTTTAAGTTGTTATCAAGCTTGGGGATGCCTGTGCACTGTGATAACCTCAACCTTGTCAGATTCAGAGCATTTATTTCTGCACCACAAAGAATGAGAACTGAGCAATCATTTTTGACATAAAGAGTTTACAGATACAATATGGGTGAAGTAAAGAAGCAGAAAGGCTCAAAATTCGGTAAGACTTTAAGTAAATAAGCCCATTAGACACAGAAAGGAGTTTTGGAACTGCTTTTTTTTTTTTTGTTTGTTTTTGGTGCACTTTGGTGCAAACCTTTAATTTTTTTTTTTCAAAAGAGGAGGCCTTCACTCTTAAAACTCATAGTGTTTTATCTCCTTTTTCGAGCCACTCTTTCCTACATGGCATTATATTCGGAACGTTTTCATTAAACTTTTAAGAATTCTGGTGCAGCAGCTCTTTGTGTTGCGGATGGTACTCTTGTTTCTTGGTGCTCTCAAAATGGAAGCAGGCTTCACAAACTGCATCAGTACAGGGCTATGAAATGGGATTTATTTGTGGCAATTGTCAACAAGAAAGGACGTTTGTGTGCTTTGCCAAGTTCACAAGCATTTTTTTTAGTAATGAATTTTCCCCAACAGTCCCCACTCCCCCCAGTCTCGTGGACCCTCAGGCCCAATAATCCAGTATTAAACAGAATGCTTGCAGCACAGAGCCAACACTATCCCTCCTGCTGACACCTAACTGGATCAAAAACTAACAATCAGCTTATAAAAATTGATGATTTCTACTGATACAATAATCGATTATGATCTCAAAAATGATAATGCCTTCAGGAGGGGAAAGTGTTGCTGCTCACTGACTCCAGAGTAAAACCACTCTGTAGTCAGGTGCTGGTGGTAAGAAAGTCTTTAAAGTTTTGTAATGTTGGGATTCAGGTACGTATGATGCAGACAATGCTTGTGATTTATTTTTTTTATTTTTTTATTTATTTTTGGTTTGTTTGTTTCATTATGTGTAAAATTTTCTATTGTTGTTTTTTCATGGTTTATTATGAGTTGTCATTTTAATCATTGTGTGTTTTTTTTTTTGAGTCACTTGGATTTAAATGTATTTTCCAGTACCCTCCTTCAGTTTTGCAGCCTTTATTTTGGAATGGGAACATGGCTTTTTATTTCCATGTTTTTTTCCCCCTCCATTATTTTCTTGATCATTTATGTGTGGAACGTTATTCTTGTTTCTGACTGTACATTTTTTGTTTTTTGTTTTGATTATTGTGCTATTTATACCTGCTTAAAAGACAAAAATGTAATAATGAAATGTTTGCAAGATGGAAGGAATCTAAAAAATTACTTTTTAATACATGTCCACTTAATCTAATAGTGAGAGAATACACAACCAAAAAAATTACATGGTTTAATGAACATTTTACACAAAACATAACAAAATAATGTGTCCACAACAAATATAGTGACTGTTTTTGATTGCCAAAATTTAAATAAAGCCAGTCTCACTGCACTTTGAACATTTCTTCACGTCACACACGGTAGCCATCTTGATTCATTATTACATTTGTGCTGTTGCCCATTTATGCCTAAGTTGTCATTTACTAAATTTATTTTCATTTCTTTATTTTTACAAGTTCATTTTCCTTTGTTTATCGATTTCATTTGAATTTTTGCTTTTGTTTGGAATTTTCCTTTTTTTTTTTCATTTTTATCTTTCCCATCTTTTTTATTTTTTGTTTTTCACCCCTCTCCCTTTCCCATCCTCCTCGTCCTCTACCCCTCTACCTTCCTGTCCTTTCCGCCTTACCAGAGCCCTCAGCCCCCCCTCAAGAAACTAAGTGCATCAGCACCACCTCCACCAGCCTTTTGGTAAGTTGGCAGCCCCCACCTGTGAAGAGTCAGAACGGTGCCCTGACAGGGTATAGGGTGCTCTACCAGGCGGTGGGCTCTTCAGAAGGGGCCGGTGATGACACAGAGCCCATGGAGGAGCCAATGATCCCTTCAACTGAAGAGCGGGTGCTGCTGCAGCGACTGGAGAAATGGACCCAGTACCGCATCACTGTTTCTGCCTCAACTGCTGTTGGGCTGGGCCCAGAGAGCGAAGCCTTGATCTGTCGAACCGATGAAGACGGTACGTCAGCCTGTTGTGTGCAGACCTGATTTTATTGAGAGACAAAGTTCTTATGATGGCAAAAGTCTAGTAAACAGACAACCTCACATTTCCCACTTCTGTTAGTTAAACATCCACTATAGATAAACAGAGTTTGAGTCCACAGGCAGCAAATAAAATGCTATGCAAAATAAAACCTTGTCTGTAGCTCAGGGGTTGGTAATCCTGGTCCTCGAGGGCCGCAGTCCTGCATGTTTGACATATTTCCCTGCTCCAACACACCTGATTCAGTCACTGAATTACCTCTTCCAAGTTCTGCTGTATGGAGGACCAAAACTGACAATTAGTATTAAAAGCAGAAACATATAAATGAACCACTGAATAAATAAATATTTTAAAATGCACCAAATAAATTAAAAAAGAACTTTACCTCAAGTTTTCTAATTTAATTTACTTTCATATTTAT